GTTGTCCAGTGCTTTCGTATGTCCCTTCTCATAGCCTCTGATGCGGAGGTACTCCAGTTGCAACGGCAAATGATCCACCAGGACGATATCACCGAACTCACCCATCCGAGTAGCGAGATACCACAGACAACTCACACCCAGACTCAAGCTCCTCAGCGACACAAACTTCTTCAGCACACTTTCATCCTCAGCATTCCTCAGCACCTCACTTCCACCAGCAGCAACAAAATGAGACAGCTGATCATCAAACTCCAAATCCAACACTTCCAACGTGGCCCTGTGGCGCAAGACAGCCTGGATCAAACTGCACCGATCAAAGAACTCCGCAAAGCCGGCATAGCAGCCACCGTGGACAACGGAGTACCTCAGGTCCTTCAAGCACTTCATCGAGAGGATAACTTTGCACAACAAGTCCGACTTGAAATCGCAGCCCCTGAGATCCAAACGCGAGATACTCGCCGATGATGGCAGAAGCAAACCTTCCAGCGCAGCACTAGTCGCAGTCCCGAATCCCTGAATGGCCTGCATCCGTAACGATTCGATGCTGGGAAGGGTACGCACCAGCTCAATGCAGAGACAGAGGTCCTGGGGAGCACAGGCGCGGGATCGTGCAATATGAAAACTGGAGGCTTCTGTTGTTAGAATCTGAAAATACTTGAGATTGGCTAAGTAGGAGATTTTCTTTTCTCCATTTTTGATGAAATGACCCAAACTGGCGCGTTGAAGGAACTTGGCTAGTGGGTACTTTTCAATCTTGGCGGCGGAATGGTGATTGTCGGAGGGGTCATCAAATCGGGGAGATGTGTATTCCCAGAAAGGGGGAGATATGGCGAGGGAAGTTAGGTTTGGGGACGATGCGATGAGGAGGACTGCCAGGGCCTGAGCAATGAAAGGGGATTTGCCGTGATAGGCGTCCTCTTGGGTGCTGACTGGGTTAGATATGCCGTGTTTGTAATGATAGTAATAGGAAACATACTTGTAGTAAGTGAGATACTGCCAGTCCTTGGCGTAGTCTGTCTCCTGCAGGGCCATGTTGAGTAGTCTCTCCTGTTCAGGGCCGATGAAGCCAGCCCGGGTGGCGGCAACACGGAGACGCTGCATGTCGCCTGGGTCGACGGGGCGATCGTATTCCCGTGGTTTGTAGTTCAGCGGAGAGCGAACAGGAATGTCCATCTCGATGTGGCGAACATAACTGGCGAGGTTACGGTCACGCAGGATGTCGAGGAGGATGGTATATGCATGTTTCAGGTCTGGTGTGCAGGTGATGCGGATACAGCGGTATTTGGTTTTGTTTACGAGGTCGTTGCCGTGAATAAGAGTGAACAGTGAGGGACTGAGGAGAGAAAGGGAGTAGACATCTCCGCTGTGATCGAGAAAAGAGATGACATGCAAGAGCACGTCAGCGGGGAGGATGGAGAGGACTGGCATGATTGTGGGGATTGGATAGGAACAGGTGAGGTTGGAATACACTTGCCTTACTCGCCGCGGCTGGAGGGGGGGACTTTCGGCGGCGGCACATTCGGGTGGTCCCACTCACACATGAGGGGGACGTGCGAGTGAACTGTAATGGTCTAGGCCCGCCTCTCACCATCTCGCCTGTTCTATTTGGTAGATTGAAGTTAATCTTCTCACTTTACCATAACGAATAGATCTAGACCTCCTCATATAGGGAAAGGCGCTTTCTGGAGAAAATAAAGTTGGATATCTGAAAGTCTCGTGGTTCCCTCGATTGCTAAATGTCAACACACCCTATAATTGATTTAGTTATCATAAAAGGTAGTTAACCCCCTTTCTGAATTTTTTCAATCTACATGGTTAGTTCAGATGCCAGCTGGCAGGTTATAAGTGTCAGACTGTAGATAAAAGATTAGCTCTGCGGGCGCTTCCAAGACCGCGTGTACTAGCGTGGTTTTGATTACTAGTCTCGCACCTACACTAACGGGTCAAATTATTAGACTTGAAATGTACCACTGGATGTACCCTTTTCGTGTGATGTATATAACTAGTACTTATCAGTGTAAGACGCAGATAACAGAAGAAAAACTTAGTTATTTTCTGATCGTAGCTGTAGCAAGAGGCCTCATGAGTTATGGGTTTTTTATATAACATTTGCCTGTTTCAAAGAGGAAACATAATTAGAAATAACCTCCTTTGAGTGTAATCGGTGAAGACTCATCAGCTCTTCGATTCACTCGTGATAGATCATCGATTATTGAGAGCCACCACACAAATATTTGATCTTTCTTGAAACGTTGCAGAATGTGAAAATCCACTTTGTACGCTAGATTTAAAAACATCCAGTACCTGCTTTTGATGTGTCGAAAAGAATCTAAACTAATAAGCCGTGTCTTTTATGACTATTCACACTCACCTAGTTCGCTGAGGATGGATATTGTCCATATGATTGACCAGTTAAGAGTATTTCTGTCTTGCAACTCAGCCTCGCATGATCTAACCATTCACGTAGATCCGACCTATAATCTCTAATAGGGGATATCTAAGTGTTGCCTTCGTGTGGAACTACGGGAATGGATTTAATTGACAAAGCTACGTAAAATTTGCTCTGCTTCACAGCGGGCGTCTCCATAGCGATCACACGAGGCTACCCCAAGACAGGACCTCACTGATGGATGTTAATATGGAAAGTAATCGCATGAACATATAATACTATCGGCTAATCCATTTGTATATAATGGGGAATGCCACTTCAAAGTACCGGAAATAATCATATACCTCAAGAGCTTGATACAGCACCGTCTTCTGGTATTTGCAAAATACTTCCCTTCGTAGATAGACTTCACGCCCAAGTGCGGGTCTATAATCCCGGGTGCTCCAGGACTGCCCTGTATCGGATACCACCTAATCTCAGTTCCTCGAACGCCTCTTCAAGGCCACTTTTGGTAAGAGGAAAAGTCATGATAGTTGGTTTGATATCATGCCGCGCAGCGAACTCCAATAACTCTTGCAGATTGCGCCGCGAAGTGATGAAACATCCCTGAATCCGTATCCCCTTCTGACCGAAGGGAACTAGAGGGATAGGAGTAGGTTCCAGGGTCACAGAAATATGATAGATAGTCCCATTTGTATCAACCAAGTCAAGTAGACTGCGATGTACATTAGCCAGACAATTTGGGCATATCTAGGCGGTAAATGTCATGCTTACGAGGCATAATCAACATCGGAGCTCCCACACAGTAGAAGATGTTTCACGGGTTTAATGCGGATACACCCCTGAGTACTGGGAAAGCGATGAAATTCTGAAGCTCCAAATGCTAGCGCTTCTTCCTGTTTCCTTTCTGAGCCTGAAAATGCCGCGACATTGTATCCCAGTGCCGCAGCAAGCTTGATCGCGAGATGGCCAAGACCACCTATTCCCACGACACCAACGCGATCAGACGGGCGAATTCCATTATTAGTCAAGCAAGCCCACACCGAAGCACCGGCACATAGGAGTGGTGCTGCATGAGCCGAGTCGTATCCATCCGGAATGGGATAGACGGCATCGGCATCCCAGACAGTTCCGTGGCTAAATGATCCAACATCGAAGTCATGTTGGCCATATGCTCGCTTTTCTCTGCAGTGATTGTCACAACCTTACGAGTCCCATATGAATTAGTTCATGATTGCATTCACGACAACGTGGAATCATGAACATACCACTAATACAGTTGTCACATGTTCCACACACGCGACGGATAAAGCCGAATCCAACCCGGTCTCCGACCTTTACCCTTGTTACGCTGGAACCGATGTGCTGTACTACACCTACTCCCTCATGTCCAAGAGCTTGGTCGCGGTGTAAAAAGTGTTCGTCTGTTCCGCACAGGCCGGAATGGGTGGTCTTGATGAAGACATCATTTTCGCCCAGTGGCCGAGTGGTCAGCTTCTCCACAATATTTCCGTCCGGTGATCCGCACAGGACTTTGAAAGTGAATTCCATTGCGGTCTAGAAAGCTTTGTTGCTGCGAGAGTGGACAAAGTGTTGTTCTTTCGTGTATAAGCTCCTCGAGCGAAAGGTGACAGGAGAGCCGGGCCTGAAAGGGGTCCCGGAGCCGACAACCTAAGGAATGGCACAGCAATAGCAACCTAGTTCTTACTTGCTATTAGGACAAAGGCGGTGTGTGTTACTTCCTTAAAGCCGTGGAATTGTCGCGTCCCCTAATGGTCTCTTCTGGCTTGTTCTGGTTAACCGCATATGCTAGTATCCCTGTTTGTCTTTTAGGTTCAAGAGAGCAGAGAGAGAGCAGCAACGTTGCATCTAAACTTTGATTAGATACGGAACTTTGAGTTACAATACCTTCAAAGAGTATAATTGTAGAATTTGTAGATGACTAGAGCCGAAGGGGATCATGTAGAAGTGTCTAAATTTACACCATGTCGATCATGTCCCGTAGTTGAGCTTTGACTTCTCTGGTACCCCTAGGTTGTATACCTCGGTGATATATGCTCATTTTGTTGGTGTTACACCGTTACGATATGCTGAACCTCCTCATCTCACCAGACTAGCGAATCCCCTTGTTCTTAAAATGACTAACTCTCCAGGATAGAAGATTATTGCCTTCCTAACTTAAAGGGAAAAAAACACCTGTTCAGAGGTGGTTGTCCTGTGACATGGATATTGACGATTGAAATGAGTCAAGCAGTGAAGAGGCCACATGTACCGAAAGTGCTCTGTATACTATTACGTCAGTGAGATAACGCAAAAGGGTGGAAGGAATTGCCAATCAGAATCACTAATCCGGTAGATTCTATTATGTAAAAGGATGCAAGGGTTTCTGATGCGTTGTACCACATATCTGCACGGACCATGGCGGTCGAGGCGGAGTGAACTGCACCACGTCATGAGGCTTATGCATGGTGTATAGATGAAAGGCCTTCAGATAAAAGAGACGGAAAAGGGAACATCAAGATATCACCCTTACTAGTTCAGGTAACCTGTTTGGCATTCTCGATATCACCAGCTATATATGATCTATAACATAAATTAAATAGTGTTCAGTATGCGTTCTGTGTTGCGAAGCTTTTTACCGCCAATACCCTTTGATGGGTTACTGCTTCACGCTGCATTTTTCACGAGTATTCAGGTTTTTCATATGGGAGGGTGGTCCTGTATGCTAAATGTCATACTAGCCACTCTCGTCTCCACTTTGGCAATAGCACCCATCGGTCTTCTGGGCTTTCTTCTCCTCGTCTCATTTACTTCGCGTCAAATTAGATGCCTGTCAAAGCACGACCAGACGGTCATAGGGAGGCCTCTCCTTTTCCCTGCCACGCTTAACCATACTCGCCTATCACCAATCAAAAACAAATTCACCTTCAATGTCTTATTTGTCGGGATACCGATAGGACTCAGCTGCCGATTCGGACGACTGCTTTCTATTGATGCGGAAGATGTGGATGAGAATAATTGCAGTGAGGGATCCCTAGTTCTAGCTTGGTTGGGCTCCCTCTTTTCCAGCTGGTTTAGTTTTGACTCGGCAAGATACCTCCACCGTGGAGATGGCACACTCAGCTTACAGATCAAGTTACGTAAATTCCTGAAGGAGCATGTATGCCGTCTGATGTTTCGAGACTGAGAGCTAAGCTGACATGCATTCAGAACGAAGACCCTGACAAATGGCCTTACGCGTATATGCTGAGCGTACCGCGGTTTTTGTGGTGGGAACGGAGCGTGGTGACATGGTGGTATCTATATTCACCTAGCAAGGAATTAGATGCGGTCATTATGGAGATCAACAACTCATTTGATGAGAAAAGAAACGTCTTGTTCAGGGTACAACGTACGAACACACCTGGAAGCCCAGCAGGGAACCGTCAACAACCCGCGGACCTTAAGGAGGAGTACTTAGATAAGGGCAGAAGGGTATGTTCGCTGAACCCGCAACGTGACACTTACGCCTACAAAGCGACCTGGAAGAAAGAGATCTTCGCCAGTCCATTCGAAAAGGTCGGAGAAACCGTATCTAGCACGTTCATGGATCCTGTAGCGCCTGCATCATGGTTAGCAAACCGGTCTCTCTCAAACACGACCACTCTAGACCCCTCTGGAACTCCTCGAATGATAGCCAGGGTTAGGTGCAAGGTACCACCCATCGACCCGAGCCACGCATCGTCTTTCCAGATCTTCCGTCTCCTCTTGACATGGACTGTGAATATCACTTTGACAACACCGAGGATCCTCTTTATAGCTATTCGGCTTCACATCATGAACCTTATGAGGATGATGGACCGACCGGACATACGGCCTGGGAGCGAGCCAAGGCGTGGGACAAATGGGGAAAGGAAAGATGCTTCTCTCAGAATCCTACATGATATTTTTGGGCTAAATACTAACCTATTCAATAGGGCGCTAGAAAACTTCTTCCGAGAATACCTCAAACACATCGTTGCCTCTAATCCAGGGAACTTGGAAGTCACATACATACCTTGCAAGTCAGTGTCGAAAACCATAACTTGTCTGAGATCTACACAATACTCGGAAGACAGCCATCCCATGCAGTTGAAATTCGAGATTATGGATCCAGCCTTCTATTCCCGAATCGCCAATTCTCCGAACGCATGCACTGCTATGGCAAAGGAAACGAAGCCTGGAAGGTCACCTGCTGATGCATTATCCTCCCCTGTCATTGCTTCCGATATACCTCTATTTGTACAGCTATTAGATGTGACCATCAAAGAGATCAGGAATTACGATAAAGCCAGCTTCGGACTGTCGTCACTCATATTCTCTCTTCGTCGTTGGTTGACTCCCTCGTTCATGGATTTCTTTGTTTGCAATATCCTCCCGCCCCATATCCAAGAGGACTACATTTCGTGTTTAATACAACTATGGGTGGAGAAACTGACGTGGAACCTGCTGAGTCCTCATCAGATATACAGCGTGATCAGGGCTGCAGTGCTGCAGTGGGTTATTTGTTGGATGCTGTGCCGCATGGTATGACAGATTTGATGCTTAGCAATAGAAAGTGATCCAGAGACGTATCAGGATGAGTGTTGCCTGTTTGCTCCTATTTTCCCTACAGCCTAGGCGATTGGACATTTTACGCTCCGATGACTATGAAAAGCATTCCTCAATCATCAATGCGATAGACTGGTGAAGATATCACAAGAAGCAAGCTAAGAATACCTGGGCCTCTGGTAAGGCAAAATCTGTCGCATACATTCAAAACGACTGTCACGCGTGAGCTCATGCCATGTTGTGGAAGGGAGGGGTGCGCCAATCCGTACACTTTAGAAGTCTTTTTGTTCTCTGCAAGGGGGGGCACAGTAGAAATGCGCCTCCTACATACAACCCCACGAGAAATGATTCTTTGAGGTGAGTAAGGTTGCTGCAAAAAGTAAACACGAGAAATATGACTTAGGATCTTCGCTACAGTAGGCGTTTTCGCTGAAGGTTCCGCATCATATACCAACACGAACAAATAATCACCATCCTTACAAGCACAAGTGTCGGCCAAAATACAAGTCCACTATTTCAAGCATGAATACCCAAGAACAACGCAAAGGGTATGGGTGTAAGCAGGTCAATACACCCTATGGCTCTTGGAAAGATAGGGTCAAGACTATTGTCAGAGGAAATCGACCAGGTAGTCATCCAATTTCGCGCACAAAATAACAGCCTTGGGAGAAGCATAGTAACCCAGAATATTTTTTCATTCATTAAACTGTGTAAGCTCCGAGTCGTAGTTGCTGAAGGTCAAAGCGGCGAGTAGGCACTCGGGCACTATGAAGACGGGGACAGCACTGGCGAGCCGAAGGTCCGGGATGCCTGGGTGAATATTTGAGAATCAGGCTGATTTGACTCTTAATTTCAGCTGAGTAAAAAACATACAATGTCTCCAATATCATGAAATACACTCGCTGCTCCAGTCTTGTTTTAGTAAGTCATATAATGAGTGTGAACTCTCTCTGCATCACACCATGGTGCTGTCGGGGGATATAACTTGAATCTGCGAGGCTGATCAAGAGGAAATTCGCTACAAAGCCTCCGCAGCTATTGACGCAATATTGCCATCTCTTGCATGTAAGGCTAGCTTCAAGCCGCAAATAGGAATTCGGTAATTCCTCAGAGGCAGTTCTAGCATGTAAAATGAAGTAAATTAAGAAGAATCATTATAAGTCGCGAAATGCGGAAGAGGACCTTACAAGACTCAAGTCAGTGTGATATATGACGTCTATATACGGCGTCTTTCGTGGTTGGAATGTGCACAATCTATGCAGAATAGATGTTTGGTGCCTAACATGGCGTAGATGATATAATGGTTCATTGCTCATGAACAGCTCTTGTTACAGTACAATTACAGCTCAAATCAGATGATCCCCTTTGCCGAAGCTGCATCCTTGCTTCCTCGGCAGATATTTTGTATTGTCCCACGGTACACTTGGCGTATTCCTACTTCTGACATAATCCATTCCCCTTCAGACACTCTCCCGCAGAAAAGCTCCTATTAGCATCTTCTTTACACACGCAGTGCCTCAGCCGATACTATTCTAACGAAGAATTCTATGGTCTTCACATACATCACATCAATACCCTATGCAAGCGATATAATATGGTAGCGCGGGTATGCGTTGTTCGAACACGGGAAGGAGAGATCTTCTGTACCTAAGCTAAACTAACAATCCTTACGAACTCTGTATCACAAAACTTCATCTTGTCATACTCTCTACCCAGATTGCATTTTGCAGGATATGACCAATGGAACTAGACATCTCGAGTGCAGAACCGCTCTTCTGCAAATTTATTTTCCACTCCAATTCATTCTTGGAAGCTTTTGCTACCACTTGATTTTTGTTCATTTGTCTTTCACAAAAGACTAGTGTTAATTGTGGACATTGATAATGAATACTCTTGTATATGCCTTTGCGTTTGGGATCTTATCTCTCTATATCGTCAGGCTTGGCCACCTCCGAAAGCGAGGGGCACGTCCACTGCCCCCGGGGCCTAAGGGTCTGCCGCTGGTTGGTGATATACACGATCTTCCGCCTCAGGGGAGTAGAGAATGGGAGCACTGGTTAAGGCATAAAGATATCTACGGTATGTCGATATCGTTCAAGCTTTGGCTCCTTTTATAAAAGCTGAATTACCAGGCCCTATCAGCTCTGTGTCGACGCCGGGAACCACGTTGATCATTATCAACGATGCCAAGGTTGCGATTGATCTTCTGGAAAAGCGATCGGCGAAATACTCATCCCGACCTCGCATGATATTTGGCTCTGAATTGTAAGTTCTGAATCGTGATCATTCTACAATCTAGTAAATTGCGCTGAGAATTCCATTCCGGGATAGGGCGGGATGGGAGCGTATGGTCACAATGAAGCGCAATCCTGTCCATGTTCGGGGACAGCGCAGGCGGATCCACCAGTTTCTAGGTTCAGCTAATGCCCTCTCATCGTTTTACACCCAGCAGGATATTGAAGCTCGGCGATTTCTTCTTCGGGCTCTCCAATCCCCTGAGCGACTCGTGGATCATATCAGAAGGTATATATGATGCCCGTCTAATCCAGTACCACGATGCTCACAGATAGAAACAGCCAAACAGGAGCTACCATCTTGAAAATTGTCTACGGGTATACCACGCAACCTCACGGCCGTGATCCTCTTGTTGATCTTGCTGATACATCGACGGAGCAATTTGGAAAAGCTCATACGCCAGGGACATGGCTTGTGGATAGTTTCCCTCTATGTATGTACCAGACTCTCAGCACCAACAGAACCTCCTAATCCTTCTCACAGTGAGATACCTTCCGGAATGGTTTCCTGGGGCCGGATTCCAAAGTAAAGCCCGCGAATGGAGATCCACGTTGGATAAACTGGCTGAGCAACCGTATGTGTTTGTCCAACAACAAATGAAGAACGGGATGTGCCAGCCATCCTACGTTTCCAAGCACCTCACCCAGGCGGGAACCGACATCGATTCAGAGGAGGAAATGGAAATCAAATGGTCGGCAGCAACACTGTACGGGGCTGGTGCAGATACGGTCAGTACATCTTCAATGAACCATATGATGAAAAGGTTTACATTCAAGGTCTGACTGACCTATATAGACTGTATCCGCCATATCATCATTTTTCCTGGCCATGGCCCTCTTCCCTACCGTCCAAACCAAAGCACAAGAAGAACTTGACGAGGTTGTAGGGATTAACCTCCCAACACCAGAAGACCGCACAAACCTACCATATATCAACGCAGTCATCAAAGAAGTCCTCCGGTGGAACCCTGTCACTCCTCTTGGCGTTGCACATGCTTCCACGAAGGAAGATGTATATGAAGGTTATCTGATTCCAAAGGATGCAACGATTGTCCCAAATATATGGTGAGCTGTCTAGTATCTATAATTAGTTTTCCATTCTCATCTGGAGTTCTAGGGCTTTTCTACATGATCCCGAAGTCTACTCAGACCCGATGACGTTCAACCCTGAAAGATTTCTGAATACTGAGACCCATCACGCAGAGAACGATCCCCATAATCTTGCTTTTGGATTCGGTCGTAGAATATGTCCCGGTCGTGGATTTGCTGACTCTACCATTTTTCTTACTGTCGTGCGGTCGTTGCAGGCTTTCCGGATTGGCAAGCCTGTCAAAGATGGAAGGGAGATCGAACCCGCTGTGGATTATCTGCCGGGAGTAATCAGCCACCCTAAGGCTTTTGCAATCTCAATTACACTACGGAGTAAAGAGCATGAATCATTTATTCGTTCTATTGAGATAGAACATCCGTGGGAGAAAGGGGATACTGTCATGGTCTGACATACTTCGTTTTTCAGTTATATATCTTAGGATTTATATTTGGTTATTATCATCTTTCACCTCCAAACGCTCGGGAGCTTCATCATAACCGTCAATAATCTGGTAGTAATGATACAAGCTTACGATACTTACCCTGTGGACATCATTCTTCGGATTGCCGTTATCTAGCAAATACAAAATTCCGATTCTGTTTCATGGGATGGCGGGATTGATTCATAATTTACTTCATTAATTGGGCAGGACCGGATGCCGTAAGCACTGAACTCGTCGCACTATAACCCGCCCTGCAAGTAAGCAAAACAGGATGTTGCGCAAGATTTCAGAAAGGGAAATGGGACTTGCCACCATGTGACTACTATTCCATGCAGCCCCCCAGTTACGATACTCCGGGAATGCGAGGGGGTAAAAGCAGTGAGACACGCAAGGCAAGATTATGACGACATTAGTGATTTACATAAGAGAAGATAGTCTGCATGAGCTGTGTACCTAGGCACTAGAGGCCTGAAATGGCATTCTTGCATAGGGATCTTCGTGGGCACCAGTCTGCCAATGCAGAATGGACAAGGCCAGTGTCTTACCAGATACCCCCAGTATCCCCGTTTCAGTTTTTACACTGAATTATTGTTCTTTCCAATGGTATCTGAAACAAACTATCATGGCTCATCTTCTACATGGAACAGCCTTCATCACTGGAGCAGGCTCGGGTAGGACGGCAGCATTACGTGAATCTACCAGCGAAGCTGAAGTAAAAACAGGCATCGGAGCCGGCGTGGCTCGTAAATTCATTCAGAACGGAGTATCCAAGCTAGCGTTGGTCGACATCAATTCTTCCAATCTTCAGAACGTCTCCGAGTCGCTGAAACAAACATCTCCTTATGTGGAGCTGCTAACAGCATCTGTTGACGTGACGAACGAAGCACAAGTCAACAATGCCGTCCAGAAGGCCGCCACCAAGTTCGGTCGCGTGGATATTGGAGTTAATTGTGCTGGAGTTGGTGACCCAGGAAAGCCCACACATCAATCATCCCTAAGGGACTGGCAGCGGACAGTTGATATCAACCAGACGGGTGTGTGGATGTCGCAGAGGGCACTTCTTCAGCAGATGCTCGCTCAGACGTATGGGATAATCATAGCTGCATGGGTATAGGTGCCAGTTCTAATAATGTACAGGTCGTGTGGTACTCGACGTGGTCGCGGGGTTATTGTTAACGTCTGCTCCACGCTGGGCATTACTGCCTCCGCTACGGGTATACCTTTTCCTGCATATATATCTTCGAAACACGGTAAGCTTTCCAGAGTCCATGATATACTTTGCTCATGGCTTATGCGAATCTATAGGCGTGATGGGACTTACGAAAATGGTTCTAATACCTATACAATAGTTACTATTCAACTGAGCTGATTAATGGCGTAGGATGCCAAGTACTACGCCCCGAGTGGAATCCGCATAAATGCCGTCTGCCCAGGGTAAGTAAGTCAAGTCTCTTTTGCTGCTCCCCTTGCAGTCCTCTGAAGAGTATACAGGTTTGTGCATACGCCAATGATATCGGATGCAGTAGACTCGGGAGTCTTTAAGAAAGAAGTAGAAAGTACACCAATAGGGAGAGTAGCCGATGTGGAGGAGATCACGGACTCGATTTTATTCCTGGCCTCGCCTATGAGCAGCTATGTCTATGGAGCAGGCCTAGTTGTTGACGGGGGATATGGGCTTTAGTTACAAAGATGACATCGGTTAGCACATTGGCTTTTCCATTACTTCTAGAACTTTATTCCTGCGCCCTGGGACTCTCGCTGCTCATTTCTTCACCATCAATTGTAAGATATTGTCATCTTGATGACTCAATACTATGCTCCTCAACATCTGAAAATTCTCTTGGTAAGCATCATGGATCACAGTCCCGCTAGTCCGAATCATAATACCAGCTAAATATATCTCATACTTACCGGGTAGTAAGTCTCCCATTCTGCAATCCTGCCTTGGAACACCATATAGCCCAGAACGGCCCAAACCACACACCCACCAATAATAAACTCCTATTACAATTCTTCACCAGTCAGCCCTCGTCGCTCAACGGCCGTGCGTCAAGTGACAGACGCCCCGTCAGTGCACTAATGCATCTGAGCGGGTCGTCAGACGGCACAACTGTCTTGCTTGAGGGGGAAACCATGCATGGGCGTTTTAGTGACACCAAACTGTGGCCATCCAACAACTAGCGTGACGATATTGCTCCTACCACTGTCCATATTAGACTTCCCCACTACCATAATGGGCCTTTCTCAACCCGCCCGAAGCACAAACTAATGCAAGGCTGTCGTTGCAACGTAACCGAGACTTCTGTAACCCCCTCATGAGGCGAGTAGTGTTGAAGGAATATCCTTGCTCGTGTAATCGAGAGGGGAAGAGTCTATTTAACAGTGGTATATAAGAATAGTACCACCTTAAGATATAAGCATAACCCTCTCCCCGCCCAACTCTCCAGTCTGATACCTTTCACCCTCTACCTGTACATCCATCCACACCACCACAATGCCCACCATCCTCCTCACCTTCCTCGCCCTCTTCACCCTCCGCCTCCTCTACGAATACAAACGCGACCGCAACCTCCCCCCCGGTCCACGCCGCCTCCCCCTAATCGGCAACCTGCACCAAGCCCCTCAAACCCTCCCATGGCGAGTCTTCGACCAATGGAGCAAAACCTACGGGCCTATAATGTCCGCCCAATTCGGGCGCCAAACCCTCATCCTCATAACCTCACCCACCATCGCGCGCGATCTTCTCGACAAACGCGGCAGCATTTACGCCGACCGCCCAGACCTCGTCATGGCGAATAACATCACCAAGGGCCTGCACATGCTCATCCGGCAATACGATGACTGGTTACGACTTCACCAGCGACTGGATGCCCCGTTGCTTAGTCCCCGCGCGTCGAATACATACCACCCCATACAGGATTTGGAAAGTAAGCAGCTGATGTTCGACTTGCTGCGGTCGAATGACTTCGATGCGCATTTCGAGAGATATAGTGGGAGTTTGATGTTCGCGTTGGCGTACGGGTTCCGGCTTCTCTCGCCAAAGGGGCAGGAGTTGCGCGATATGCGGACCATTCAGGGGAATTTTACCTACGCGGCGAGAGTGGGAACGTGGATTGTGGATGCGATTCCGGTGTTGAATTACTTGCCGGCGGCGGTGGCGCCGTGGAAGAGGCTGGCGGAGAAGTTGTTTCGGCTGGAGGCGAGTGTGCATACAAGACATCTGGAGAAGGGGTTGAGTAGTGAGGCGTGGAATTGGTCGAAGGAGTTTTCGGCGTCGAAGCATGCGGAGGGGATGCCGCGGATGGATTTGGCGTATAATTTGGGGATTTTGGTGGATGCGGGGTTTGAGACGACGTGGGCGGTGATGAAGATCTTTGTGTTGGCGATTCGGACGGATCCGCGGTTTGTGGCGGTCGCAAGGAAGGAGTTGGATGAGGTGGTGGGTGAGGATAGGATGCCGACGTTTGAGGATCAAGAGAAGTTGGTGTATGTGCAAGCAGTTGTGGATGAGACGTTGCGGTGGAGGTCGATGGCTCCGGGTGGGATACCGCATGCTGCAAGGAAGGAAGATACTTATATGGGGTATCGGATTCCGAAGGGGGCGACGGTGATTCCGTTGTTCTGGTCGATGTGTCTGACTGATGAGCCGTGGGATGATCCGCTGGAGTTTCGGCCGGAGAGGTGGTTCGAGGCGACTGGGAAGGAGGATGGTCGGTTTCGCAATTTCTTTGGATATGGACGGCGGATATGCACAGGTCGGCATATTGCGAGAAATTCGTTGTTCTTACTAATGGCTAGGATTCTTTGGGCATTTGATATTCAGGCGCCGCTGGGAGATGATGGGAAACCAGTCCCGGTGGATGATATGGCGTTTGATTCAGCTTTTGTGTCGACACCGGAACCATTCGAGGCGCTGTTTGTGCCGCGCAGTGAGAAGGCCAAGGCGATCGTAGAGCGGGAGTGGAATGACACAGAGAAGAACATGGCGGTGTTGATGGATAAGGTGCGGGAGAGCCAGCGGGCGCTTGGGCTGGATATTAGGGCGTGAATAAGGGGATTCGGCCAAGAAAATAGTATAGCATTAGGTATATGGTATTAAGTATGTACGATGAAGATGTAGCCTCTATGCAACATAGTATGTATGTGTAGCACTTATCGATCCAGCAGTCCGATCCGTTTGGCCACCCAGGCGAATATAACTGTTAGTCCTAGAATGAAACCTAGGATGCTGAACCACCAAGTGAGTGAGTTGTCCCCATCATGCGTCTTCCCTGGCACTCTGACATTCATTCCAAACAAACCCGTGATGAACTGCATCGGCACGAGAATAGATGCAAGAACCGTTAGCTTGCTGAGTGCCGACGCAATACCATTGCGCATGCGTCCGGAATCGAAGTGAACCTGGGTGAGGTACTTGGACTGCAATCGCGAGAGCATCTGCTCGGCCTGCTCAAGGTTGGCAATCATGGTAACGACGTGGTCACAGATGTCACTTAGATACAGGGCAACCTGCGATGACGAGGTGTCGGAGATATCGCAGTGCCGCGCAAAGGACCGGATGACGTCGATCTTGTCATGCAGTGGCTGACGAATATTCATGACCTCCTTGCGCAGTTTGAAGATACGCTGCAAGGCGAGTCCCATGTCGTCAGGCCGAGTAATGGAGACGGAGTCTTCCACTGTTACAACACCAGTTTCGACACGACTGATGAACGGGGCAAAGCCGTCAACAATGTCATCGCTGTCAAGCGTCAGCAAACATTACCGTAACAGAGCTAAGGTAGTAGTGGCTTACATCAGGGCATAGCAAATCCAATCGCTGGTCAACAGCAGATGACTGCTGTGCTCCTTGATACGCTGTCGCACATGGCCAGTGTGCAGACTGGGGTCGAAACTGAAGCTGAGAACGCCGCCCCGGAACACCACGGCGTAGAGGTTGTGCGAGACGATGCGTACGCCAGTGTCCGTCTCGAGTCGGCGCGGCGGTCGCAAAGAGAGAAAGTAGTAGTGACCGAAAAGTTCGATCTTTTCTCTGGTTTCACGGGTTTTAATATCCTCCGTAGTCAGGGGGTGGAGGTTGAAGAATCGCGCTAAAGCTTCAATGTCTTCTTCCGCTGGAGCCGTGATATCAAGCCACCATAGGCCACTGTGGGCCCCTGTCTCCAGAAGGAGGTCAAAGGGCTTATACACAGAGCACAAATCCTCGATACTGGAAGCCTCAATCGAGGTATTTAGCTGGGAGGTGAAGAAGTTGATGCGACTGACCGCTGCCGGCCGGGGCTTCTCCAGCCGGGAGTCGGGGATCGAATCAGATGACATGATTGCAGCCAGCGGGGCGGGCTCCATCCCTGGGCGGGGAAGGCCGGATTGAAGATTATGGGCACAGCTGGAATGGAGAAGACATCAACGGGGATCCCAAGGGGGAAGCGCAGCGCATCCTGACGATTTGTGTGTGCGATGGATGAAGCCCGGTGATGCGATGAAAGACAGGGAGAGAAGAAAAGTCGAGCCGGAGCCGTGGCGGTGCACCTGCCATCCCGCCTGTGGGCCAATCAGAACGGGATCAGGCCATCCACGTGTTACCGCCCGGTCAGTCTTTCTTGAAAGTTGATCAACACCCTTGACACTTCACAGTCCATATCTCTGATCTATCAACTGTGCAAAAATCATCTAAAAATAACCGAGGCTCTAGAGGTCCTTCCTCGCCCTCTCGGAAGCTGGCCAATCAGAGAGGCGGGTCGCCATCTCCTCCGCATTGCCGCATTCGTCATAAACAGCACGTGACAACCAGCTGGACAGGAAATCATTTAAACGAACTGGTGATATCAAGTGAGTCTACTATACTATGGCATATTTCTAGTAGAGGTGCTCTCTGTGCATTTACCCTTGAAGTTTCGACTTCCCGAGCATGATGAATGCAAAGTATTTTCCCATTATACCTAACTCGTATATGTCGACGTCATTGCCAGAACGACGGTCGTTATCAGCCAGCTAATCCAAATTATCGTGATCAATGCCCATGTTCCGTCCCATTTCAAGTACAACGCCAAACCTGAACGCCACAATGAGATATATCAACTTAGGGTTTCATCGTGGTCTGGCCGCATGCCCCACCCAGCCAATACCGCGTCAGCAGCTGCACAGCATCTGTGTTCTTCCGCGTGAAATCATACAACTTCGAAGCACGGATGTTAAGCATCGCTCCATCAAAATCGGCCTCTAGAACACGGGCATGACGGGGGCCCATGAGGGAAAGAACCAGCATCTACAAGACCAGGATTAGTAGAAGCTTTTAATGGCATCTGTCAGAGAAAGACTGTACCGGAGCAATAATATGCAGTCGCAGTGTGTTGCTTCTTAGACGGGCCCTCATGATGTCTGTAATTGTCATGATTTCTCCACGGAGTAGTCTACCATCACCAATAGCATCATTTTCCACGATTGCCTTGATGTGGGGCAAGTTCTCGTCTGGGTAATCAGTCACCGAAACAGCATACCAGTTAAACTTCCCACACTCCAGTAATTGGCCGAACTTGAAATCCCCAATTCTAGGATGATATAGTCAGAGAGCCAGCTAACATACCGGAACAGTGGGGAAAGAAGTCACATACTCTCGGTACACACCATACGGAGGATTTTGGGGATACTCGCGCTTGGCAGACCCTCTGCAGTCATGGAAGTGGTCAAAGAGGAAGAGCTCCAACGCACGAGTGTCCCACATGATATTATCCGGGGTCAGCTCAATCTGAAGAAATTCGTCTTCCTCAACTGGAAGAGGCAGCTCCTCTTCGTACGGTCTGAAGAAAGACGGCCGGTCCTTGGCACCCTCGAGGGACAAAGGGAAGTGGCGGATACCAGCCGCCTTCAGGTCGCTTGGTTCGACATGCATATTTGGTGTTTGCTTGATGCGCTCCTCAACCTTGGCCAGAGCATGCCGCCGAGCTTGTCGCTCAAGAAGAAGCTGTTGATCAGACATGTAGACTGAGTCCTAAAAAGGTGATGATGAGAAAGGAAGAAAGGGGGATAACAATGGAAGATGAGAAAGGGCGGAGAGGGAAGGAGGGAACTTTAAAAACGGCAGGTAAACTTGCAACGGGATTGGGTGGAACACTGGCTGCCTGGCGGACGGCTCTTCTGCCTAAGGCATACAGCCTCGTCGGGCAAGTTGCCCACAGTACTTCTCTCCGAGTGGCTGCAGCTACGCGCCAGGAATAGTGATAGGGTTTCAAATAGCAGCAGAGCGAACTCATGTGTCTAATGTCCCATTGGTTATGACTATCTTGTGCGAACGACTAATGTTAAAAAGGGGCATTGGCGCGAGACATAGCAGAACGCCCAACATGATTCTACAAATTCGCCAAAGCCCACAAGGCTGCTTCATAATTAGAGAAAGGGTCGACGTACTAGCTTAATACGTCACAACTAAATACCACCAATTGTAGAACAAGCTTTCATTGTTCTGGGAATGCTCAAGGACGCTGTTGAAATAGAATGGGGGTGGGGCGCAACCTTCGGTGGTCAGATGAGCTAATACGTACCCACGCCTGTACCAAGCGCCCTATCTTCCTGCCACCTAGCACTAGCTAGCCTGGAAAGTTCATTGTATTAATCAAGTCCTTCGTTCTCTCTAGAAAGGCAAGATGAGATAAGCGTTGCGATTGGCTGGCCCAAGCGCCTGAGCGCCTTGGTCCTATCATTAGCGTACCCTCTCGCTGCTCCTCGATGCCCGTGTCTTTCCTGTGTGAATCAATACAAGGCGGCTCCCTTGCATCCATTTTACATCTCTCTGGGCACATACGTATCATTAGCCTATGTCGGAGTCCAGATCGAGATTTGACATGATACAGTGATAGGCAGCAGCGGTCATAGCCTCCCCTTCACTGGTATCCATGCGCTAAATGAAACCACTGACCTCCACGGCGGCGGTAACTAGCCGCTGGACCCTTCAGCCGCTCCATCCCCCGTCTTCCACTGGTTGCCTTGCTACTAAGCCGGTTAAGATGCTTCTGTGCTATATGAGCGTGTCATTGCATTGGGTGGTCACGCAAGAATGGGCGCGTAGTAGTGAGCACACCCTCGCTGGAATCGTCTATGTCGGCCTTGTGATCTTGCCATATAAGTTAAGGCAGATATGACTGTCAGGAAACCTGCCTAGTTCCCATCATCATTAACTCTCACGTACACAGCAGACATGGCTAGCAAAGACCGTCTTCCGAGAAACGAGACTGAGTGGAGGGAGTGGGCCGCTTCGCATGAGGTGTCTAACTCAACTATCCATGATGCTCCGCTCACGTCTGGATCGAATATCAACCACCAGCAATACCTTCTACTTCATGTTCTTTGGAAGACCTCCATGGCCAGGCAACTAAAACTGGAAGAGTTTGGCCTCAAGGAATGGAAACAGAAGGCGGACAAACTTCTGGCAACACTTCAATCCTGGGATCGCTACCACCAGAGCTTCACCAGCAACGCTATCCTTGAGGGAACATTCGCCTTGGCTAAAAAGTACCAGTCTGAAGCCTCGGGGTCCCTTGATGAGAGGTTTCGTCCGGATGTGGCATTTACTCCTGTTGCCCATCGCACGCGTGGCAAAATGGGTGGATTAGAGCGGAAAATGAGGGAGATACAGCTTCAGACCCCGACTAAGTCTACGGGAACGATACCAAACACACCAGGCGAAGAAACGCCCTTCAATTCACCAGGACCGAGTGAGATCTCGAATCAAATGTATCCCCAAACTGAAGATGAGCAGATTGTAAATTCAGCACTTGTGGACTTCTTGAATGCTCTGAGCATACACTTTCCTGAAGCATGCGACTGGACTCTACATCGGAAATCTTTCAAGGCAGATTTCGAACATGCGTCGTATGAAGCACGAACGGATGGCTATCTAAAGGGAGGGCCTCCTGGGAAGGCGCGGGCATTGATTGAAGTAAAGCCAATGCTAAGGGAGAAAAAGCGAATTCCAATCTGCATGCAGGAGGCTGCTCAGATGGTGGCTTGGATCAAATCAGATCCTGATTCTACTGGTGTATTGAATCTGCCGGGTCGGTAAGTATCTAGCGTCTTCCTCGGCATCATGTCTGCCACTTCGGTCGCTCACTAGCATTAGTCGTCTCCATGTTTCACAGGACCGTCATCTTATTTATCTCATTTTTGCGGAGTATGATGACGCCTATATTCAGTATCTCAACAACACGCTGCCCCCCGGGCCGTCCCCGTTTCTCAGGATGCGTGAATTCGGGCCCTGGAATACGCTGAATCGAAGTGACATGGTCAGTCTTGGTGGAATTCTACTGGCGATTGCCTTACGTGCATATGCAGATGCCAAATCGAACAACTGACAAGCGAAAGTCTGATTGAGTACTGGAAGGATAACCTCTGATCAACGGCAGAGGTACGAGTGTGCTGCAGAAAGCATTCAAGCAGTCGTCGTTCTCACATCTTATCAATCTTGACAACGGCTACCAACGTGAAAATTGCGAGCTTCAGGTCGTTCCCACATCAAGGCACTCGATGCGTTCAACGAGATGTTCCTAACGTTGTCATGAAAACAGCCAGCTGCTGGGCAGTAATGCCGTTGGCCCGCGTTTCCTATTGCGTGAGATCCCACTTTGTTGTTCCTTTGTATCTTAGTACCTGATCTTATATTGTTTTGTATTCGAAGACTGTTCTTTATACTGTATCGTCATTCTTCATTTTTCGTCTTTAGCATCCATAATTCATTTTGCTTCGCAACACATATTGTCCCCATTCCCTCTTCCGGGCTCCCGGGACAATACATCTCCCAGTCCAAGGTAGACCTGCGGGGTAAACCCCACCAAACACACTGATCGTAGCAGTCTACGGGATGGATTCCGAGCGGGGGAGATACCGCCGGAACCGATTCCGTATCCATCCTCAATGCCCGCACCCCACCGGCAAAACACATTATGTAACTGGGTAAGCGCTTCTCCGGCCCTCCCACGCCACCCCAATTACCCAGCACAATGTCAGGCATAATTCCCACCACAAGTTGCCCCAGAGCAACAGCCGCATTACTATGCAGCGTCATATGCATCCAGATCCACTCCCCGGTCAGGGACTGCATTTACCCCAGACCAAACCAGACCAGACCCACCGCAGAATCCCAACTTGACTCACCGATATAAAAACACCCTTCTCACCAGCACAAAACCCATCATTCTTCACGCAATTGCACCCAGAAGCTCGTAAATATCATGATCAACATCATCATCGTCGGCGCCGGCCTCATCGGCCCCCGCCACGCCCAATCCGTCATCAACAACCCCTCCACCAATCTTCTTGCCTTGGTCGACCCCTCTCCAAGCGCTTCATCCGTGGCTAAAACCCTCAACACGCTCTACTTCCCCTCTTTATCAGCCCTCCTATCTTCTGTACCCGACATCCCGCACCCAGACGCCGCCATCATCTGCACCCCCAACCACACGCACGTCCCCGTGGCTCTCGAACTCATCAGCCACAACATCCACATCCTACTCGAGAAGCCTATCAGTGATACCATCACCACCGCGCTTCCTTTACTCCAAGCGCACCAGAAGCACCCAGACGTAAAGGTCCTCATCGGCCACCATCGGAGATTCAACCCTTACATCACCAAAACAAAGGAAATTCTCGAGTCCGGATCCCTGGGCTCCATCCTCGCTCTATCAGGCCTATGGACTCTCCACAAGCCAGCATCCTACTTCACCGGCGCTACCTCATGGAGAAGCGACAAGAACAAAGGCGGCGTGCTAAGCATCAACCTCATTCATGACGTGGATCTCCTGCACTACCTCTTCGGGCCTATTACGCGCGTCTACGCAGAGAAAACCCTACCCCAGCGCGGTGGCCCAGGTGGTAATGCAGACCACACGGCGGAAGAAGGCGCGGCAATTACATTCCGCTTTGCTAGCGGAGTGGTGGGTACCTTCGTGGTGAGTGATTGTGCGCCGTCGCCGTGGAATTTCGAGGCCGGGACGGGTGAGAATCCCCTTATCCCGAAGGTGGGTGGTGAGGGAGGAGGGTTTTATCGGGTTTTGGGAAGTCGGGGGTCGTTGAGTGTGCCGGATTTGAAGAGGTGGAGTTATGATGGGGTTGAGGGGGAGAAGGGATGGAGTGAGAAGTTGCAAGTGGAGGAGTTTGAGGTTGATGAGGGAGTGCCGTTTGATTTGCAATTGGAGCATTTTGTGCAAGTGTTGGAGGGGAGGGAGACGCCGAGGTGTGATGCTGTTGAGGGGTTGAGGGCGTTGGTGGTCGTTGATGCGGTGAAAAAGGCTATGGAGAGGGAGGAGGTGGTCAAGGTGGAGAGTGTTGAGGAGATTTTGGCTAGGAATGAGTAGCTGTTCGGAGGAAGTGAGGTGGAAAGTAGAGATGTGTTAGCCTCATTGATAGTGTGATAATAAACTAAATGGTATAAATTTCTACTTATTCGAAACAGACTGCTCAAAACTCGAATGCACCATGATCGACTGATCAGCCGTACTTCCCCTTCCCCTTTCTACCGACTCCATCGAGTGCGGCTTCCTTAGACTTGTACTCGTCGTAACATGATTCGTGAGTCCGATCTCTTCATCATCCTGCCCATCAAACGTATACTTGGTCGACAAGACACTGTGCACACGTCGACCCGCTGAAGGCGTGCCACCCCCATTGGCGATGCCGCTCCGAGACCGCCACGGTGTACTCGGATGTGTTGGCTTGCTATCCTGGCTAGAGGAGAGCTTGATATGCGCTAACCGGACCAACGGGGCGAGATGAGGCAAGCAAGCACAGACGATGGAGAGACCTGGCTCGATGGTGGACCAGATGAAGACGGGACCGAGGGTCCAGGTGACGTCGTTGCGTTTGGTGAACTCGTCGACGGAGTAGATGCGGACGATGCTGGCGACGCAGGCACTGCAAACCAATGTTATTCCTAGTGTAACTACGTTTAAAAGGTATAGAGGAGAGGAGACTTACAAACTGCCTACGGCCAGGATACCGCTAATAGCCACCTTCTTGCGACGATTCATCTGCAGTTTAGCGATCTGCGGGAAAGGAATCAACAAGACGACGATATCGTTGAGCATGTTGATTATCCCCAGCGCTAGAAAGAAAGTATCGGTGTCAATGCATGTGCCACTTGCACCACCAAACTGTTCCCAGAAGTAAGAGGCGGGTTTACACGCCGTGGCCATTGTGACGCAGATGATGATCGGGTAGGAGAGAGTGAGGAAGAAGCCTAGATATATGCCGATGCGCAGAGAAAGGTCTGCATGGGAGGCGATGAAGACACGGCGATAGAAGAAAAGGATGGAGACTTTGGAAGCGGCGCATACGGCTGAATATACCATGACGTAGATATAGAGGATCTGAAATGTCAGTGCGCGGGCTACAGTGCTATGCCTGGTGCTGCTAACCTTGAATAGTGTCATCAGCTTGGTGACGCTGATAGCCCAGACATGTTTACCGGCACCATAGAAGCCTCCTGTTCTCGTCAGTCTCAATTGTTGCAAAGCAAAAGCTTGCAATCGCTAAGTAGACCTTACCGGAGATACTCAAACCGGAAGTTGTGCAGATAAACACCTAGACACCAGGTAAAATTAGCCAACGCCTTTCAACACAAGTCGCATATGAAGAATAAGTCCACCGCACCAATGCAAGAATAATGACCCAATCATCCGTCATAAGAGAATTGCGCAAAACCCGCCGAGCAACAAAGCGCAACACAACCGAAATGACAGCCAAGCAGAGAATAAAAATCACGACCGCATTATCCTGCTGAACCCTACTATCCGTCAAATCAATATCATCCGGAGGCTCGCCGAATATAGCGACAATGGCAGGATCCACGGCCATAATGGTCCGCCGACCGCAACAACACAACAATAGTAGCGACAGGAAAAACTCACAAGCAGGTTCATTAAACCAGAAAGCAGTGGTATAAAGGCGACCAGGAATGGTCCCTACGGACGGCTGAGCATCCTGGCAGCGGGAATGGCGCATCCTAAGATCGGCCGACTAGCTTGGGGGCCGGACGAACGAACCCAATCAATAAATGCACGGATATGACAATCCTTTAAAGCGGATATTAAGACAAGCCACCGTCTCTTTAGCTCAACGCTGACAGCAGCCACAGGGACCGACAATTAGTCGCCGGCGTGGGGCCCCAAAGGCACACGACCGGGGGCGGATTCCTTCGCTTGCCCTTAGTCTCAACCGACACTCCAAGCGAACAGGCGATGCAGTAGTATCGAGCCGGAGGATGGTTGTCAGTTACTGCAACGGGATAATGTGCAACAATAGCATAAGCAGCTATAGTGGTCATGATCATGACAACCTGGAGGAGGTAGCAGTGAGCACGGCTAATCCTGTTCATCTCACTACTAGTACTCCATGTAAATCGAACCACCCTCCCGCTAGGCTGTACGCCTAGATAAACCAGCGGGGAAAGTCGAGTCCGACTGCCTGCTTGCTGCAACAGATAAAAAGTCCAGAGAAGGACGGATCAGCCTTGCCTACTGCCAATCCGACAATCTTTAGGCCCCCTCCTCAGCAGACAGAGATGGGTTCCATCGCCCCCGACGTGCCAACCTTCACTCCGCTCGAACTCATTGGCCCCCGAGGCTACATGCGATACGTGTTCACCTTCCCCCTGGGCGAAGACTACGTGCTGGAAGATGTGTCCAGAGTCCTGAGGGCCGGCTACGATGCCGCAGCCCAGCGCCTCCCTATTCTAGCCTGCGAGGCCATCCCCGACCCGACCGCCAGGCAGGACAGTGTAATGAAACTGCAGATGCTAGGGCCCAACGCAGAAGAGGCTATCCTCGTAAAAGACCTACGAACGCAAGAAACGATTCCAAGCTATGTCAAACTCAAAGCCCGACAATTTCCCGTGGACGCCTTCGACGCCGACTCAATGTGCCGCCGTGACATCTGGCCAACAGACCCAGGAGAGCACCTACCCATCTCGCTCGTCCAAGCCAACTTCATCCGCGGCGGACTGATTCTAACGTGGTGTATCCTGCATATGGCCGGCGACGGCACCTCATTCCAAACCTGGATTCAGATCTGGGCGGAGGAGTGCCGTCGCGCACAGGGACTGAAAATAACAGATCCTGTCGTACTCCCGCTGGCCATTTTCACAGACCGTGAGAAAGTCATGCGCTCTTCGGGGCGTAACTCAGGCCGAATAGAAGACCACCCCGAATACGTCGTCCTCCCGTCCAAGCCACCCGAAGGCCTGCCGCCGAAGATGCTGGCCAAAAACCACCGGGCTCAAGTCTTCTATTTCTCCCCGGAGGCACTGGCGGCGTTAAAGAAGGAAGCATCACCAAAGAACACCTCGGCACCGACAGACGTGCCGTGGATATCGACCAACGATGCCCTTTCAGCATTGCTCTGGCGAACGGTGATGGCCGTCCAGTGGCCGCTAGAAACCCTAGATAGTGTCAACGAGGAGCAAGAATCATTCTTCAACATCGCCCTGAACGGCCGGTTACGGACTGATCCTCCAGTCCACCCGAACACGCTTGGCTGTTTTCTGGAATATATCGGTGTGTCAATGCCCGTGCGCAAGATGCTCACTTCCGCCCACTTGGCCGATCTAGCTGTCTTGGTCCGGAAGGCATTGCACCGCGTGAGCGACCAGCACACGGATGACGTGATTTCTTTAATCGAGCAGCTCGACGATATCAGGAAGATTTTCCCGGCGTCGCTGGTTGATCTACCTGGGTTTAATTGCATGTTGACTTCGTGGGTTGACTTTGCATTGTATGATCTAGATTGGGGTACGTTGTTGGGAGGACATATTGAGTCAGTGCGGGCGCCGCATGTTGGGGTTATCAATGGGTTACAGGTGGTGTTGCCGAATCCGCGGGAGGGAGGGATGGAGGTTCTGGTTGGGGTGGCGGATGGATGTTTGGAGAGACTGCTTAATGATCCACTGTGGATGAAGTATGCCGTGGCGCGGTGAATCTTTTCCGGGACATGTATGATGGTAAATATGACTTGGTTTTGTACCGCTGCTCTGGGGATGTCAACGCACGTGGTATGTAAACACTTGACACATGCAGCAGCTGAAGGGTATCGCATATTCAATGCCTATCTGGTGGTAGAAATGTAGCATCATATTATACGAAGTAGGGTATTAAAAAGATTTACAGAGCAAGAACATCCAAAATCCACCTGCCCGTATTTACAACATATCCAGGTTAGGTGTAGATCACCACTCTTGACGACGCTTACTCGGAATCACGCTCCCTAGCACAAGATAAGCATCCAGAGCTTCAACTGGTATACTCGCAGGATGACCATCAGGAAGTTCAAGATTGGGGTGATTCATCAAGGAATGGTAACTATCTCCCAGAAGTTCTCTCAGAGAGCTATACAGCTTCAACTGTTCCAGCTGACCCTTTGCCTCAACAGCTCGTTTGTTCCATGCGTAGAAGTGGGAAACTGCCATCAACGCATCCGTTTTGCCTATTCGCAGCATGCCCGAACGGGGAGGTCCGATAAGAGTTTTGGTAAAATAAGCGTCGTCAAGGTGGCGATCAAAGTGTTTCTTGTTGAAATTAGCCATGCAAACATCTGTGGCCTTTTTCGCGGGATCTTCGATGAAATTCCCTAGCTTAAGCTCAGAACAGATATGACAGCAGCAGTCTATACGGGTCTTGATCTTATAGTCGGGTGGCACGAGAGGAGGAGATTTGACATAGTCAACCACATATTTGTTCAGAACGTGTTTAACAAATCGTCGTTTATTCATGGTGGAAGAACTCCTGGACGTGATAACGTTGTCGCAAACATCCTTTACCACTGGCAACAGGAAGTCGGAGAAAACACGACCCATGCCGTTTCCTCGCAGATTCAGAGCAAACCCCGTGAGGGTATCGAATAATGCCGTGGTGTCGAGGTCCTTGATATCACCTATCCGGAGCACCTTTACAATCGTGACCGGTTTAACGCTGAAAGTCAAGGTATGTTTCCGGGAGTAGGCAAAGGTATGCTCGCGTTCAATATGGAAAGCGCGAGCAAATTGCGGAAAAAGATCTTCGATCATTGCATCGACCACACATTTAAGGTCGTAATCATCAGGAGTGGAGTAATCATAGGCCGAGACAAAAAACGAGGCAAGAAAAGCGCTGTCCTCAATCTTAGTCTCCAGGAAAGGGTAGATTCTGGTTTTGTTAGCGTAATAAGTCAGGAACCAGTAGGCGTCTATCTACCTTGCGAATAAATTCTCCCGGGGCAAAGTTTCTAGTAGCACCGCAAGTTTGTGGCCATCACGGGCTGTGTCCCTCGAATGTATGGAGATTAATTTGCTGGCAGTAGTGATGTCCCAATCGAGCACGTCGGGCGATACCTCTCGGCCCCGTTCCTCGCAAATCTCAATATACTCCCGGACCAAGCTATCAAGCCAGGCGTATCGCTCAGAAATCAAATTATAGATCATGGGAGAACGGCGTTGGACCTGAAAGACATGGTCCACACTAGAAAGTGTCAGGACGCACACGCTGTACATGGTATAGGTGAACATACGCTTCGCGGACAGCTTCGAGTCCATGTTTCGCCATGACATTCGCGATGTTAGTAATCTGAGAGGGCGAAACAGTGCCGTAAAGAGATTCAACGGCTTGGCAAAATAGATCCACGTCATCAACGTCAATGGCTATCTGCATGATCTTGTCAATCATCTCGGATGGCAGCGACTCTTTTTGTAATGTTATTTTGCAGGCCTCGACCAGATCCCACGCCGTAAAACCTTCATCAAGACATTCTGAGACGGAACGGAGGCACTCATCTAGAAGTTCTTCACCATTATCTGCGGAGTTCTTCAACCGGTGGAGTATGAACGAAAAGCGAAAAGCCTTTGGAACGATTATGGCGCCCTATGACTTTATGAGGATCGAACATACACAAAACACAGCTAATGTGGGAACTAAAAGCATGACTTACTGTCGCTCGGTAAAAATGAGTGGCCTGGGCACCCGCATTTCCTGTAAAGCCTTGATATTCTTCATCATTCGGGTCTCGATTCAAAAAGAACCCGTATTGGATAAGCAAATCCTCGTGAAATGGCAGATGCTCTGCGACAACAGTTCCGAGCGCATCCACTACCTTTAAGAACTCTAGATTGGTCTCCGTCACGTCTATCTCATAGTAAGGCTTCCGATGACGGCTATCGTATGGTTCCTCAGCTGCGCCAGATTCGGTCTTCTCAATATTGGCTAAGTATATGCCGAACTCAAGCCTCTGGCACGCATGTTGCAGTTGTGCAAAACGAGCTTGGTCAACTCCTTTCAGTCGATCAAAGCTGAGCTCGGCACTAGTATACTGATGCTCGAGAGCGTAGACGAGTGCTGGCGGGCAGCAGTGATCGACATAACGATCCCAAGCTGGGTGGCCGGGGTGAATCTTTTCGTCAGTGCGAGAAGCCCAGAATCCTAAGAGAAGGGCCAGTTTGTCTGTCTGGACAATGGGCATCCTAGCCCCAAACGACGGGCGATGAATCAGATTGTACACTAGAGCCACTCTATATCCAGAGATGACCGGCTTCACCTCATGGATAACATCCGCATACCAAGCAGCCCAGGAAAAGCTAAACTCTGAGGATGGCGCACTTCGCCATTCGATCTTGGTACCACGGTGGGATACAATGAGATCTCCGCCTTCGTGCTTCGAGGAAAGGCATACTACTAATGTAGCAAACATGCCATCGGCCTTCTCAGAATCTTGGTGTGGGAGGAAGAATGCGCCTTCTTCGTAAATCAGTAGCTTGTATAACTCCGCCTTGACCTCCTCCGATTGAGCAGTCAGGCCCAGGCCGGTGACGGCGTCATTCACCAGAATACCGATTTGCTGTTGCCAGTGGGGATTTTGAAGGGAGAACTGGCCAGGGTCGAGCTGCCATGTTTTGCGGACGGATTCGTCGACCAGGGTTTCGGAACCTTTCCCGTAGGGACTGCGATCGCAACACTGGATGATGGCTTTTGCATCATCGGCTGAGATGGGAAGTCGAATGTTGCCCACGCCTGGAATGTCCAGGCCAGGCAAGGCAAGGCCCAGCGAAGCTTCCCCGGCTAAGAAGGATCCGGAAGATTGGATGGTGTCCAAGGTGAACAAGAGCTCTTCCTTGAGGTCAAGGTGGCCATCATCTTCGAGCAATTCCCCCGAACATGAACTCATATTGCCTCTGTTACTTGCATGAGCTGGGGTGGTGAGTGCCGAGATAGAGGAGAATGTGGTGTCAAAGTTCAACTTCTTAGGGGAGAGGGTTATGCGGTCGCGAGTCGCGTCGCGTTACATGCTGCCATTAGTGGCCATCGGGCAAAAACCAACCATCACATCAATCCCTGTCACCTTCACATTTTATCACAATTGTTTTTATGACTCGCCCAATAGTGTGGATGTCTGGATCAAACTTGACATTCTGTAGTATACCTGCCGGCAGGCCGGACATTCTCCTACTGCGTAGATACTGGAAGTGGAAACGCGACGACAGATTCCATCCACCGACAGCAAACCCAACACCACTCATCCAGGGATCGTCGAATGCGGTTCCGTGATACTTAATCCTCCTTTGACTCGGACAATATCTCCTCAACTTGTGTGGAGGCGACTCCGGGGAGAAGATTCCGAGTGCTTAGTTACCCCTATTCCTCCTTCAGCCGTCAAGTTCTATATATAGCTTCAAGATCATCCACGCCAATCGACCCCGACTCGAGAGTGTGATGCCTGTCGATCAACGGATCAATAACTGCGGCCCGGCAAGATGTAGATGCTGAACTCCGTACAAATCGACTATTTAGGATCAAAGAAAGGGACAATCCACGTCTGACCAGCTCACCACAGACGCAGTTTTTTGGGCTCGTGCCCTGCGCCGCCATGAAGCGTAAAGCTTGGTAGCGGCATAGCAGCATGCAGCATGCAGCATATGGCATTCTGCCCATAGACGACCGGCACGAGAAATAAAGCTCTTCACGCAATTTCCGTGGGACAGACGTTCCATGGGTCGAGTTCGGGTCGCGCAGTCTCCGGTTCCCCCGCCAGTTAGTTATGACTCCTCCCGTGCCAGACACACACTCACAGCAGCCCCTGAACGCCCTACTGATGGACTAGTAGGTGCCCCTGCAGGAAATTAGCCGCCATTCACTGGTTATCTAAGATCCAAGGATGACTAGTAGTTGGTTAGTTTCTTTCCTCGGGCAATTAGCCAAAGAGAGGATGTCAATTGTCAATCCCGCGCAGATGAGAGCCGACAGCTCGGGTTCCCCGACTCTTCCCTTGGGACGGATGGAGAGGTAAGAAGTCTATTTATTTGTTTGTGTGCGTGTCATCGACCCGGAATTGGATGCCTTGGCAGCTTTCCAGTCAACCTCCATACCAATCGGTAAGAATTCCTTGATTGGCGCTCGGTCGCAAGCAGTGGGGATGAGGGCAATCGGAATTCCCCGATGGCGTTTGGACGGGACAGGCGTTTCCTGTCTAACTGGATGTAGAGAATTGATTGCGAGTCTGTCCTACTGTGTTGCAAGCTAGCAGTTGCCCGACGAGTCATGATTTCTCCCTGCAGCGCTCGTCGTTTCCTAATTAATTCCTTCCATCCGGTTGGGGGGACCCAGTTTTTGTTTCTTTAGTGCGTCAGACATGCAATTGCGGGGACTACCTTTAGGGTTCCCGGCGATTATCGGCAATTCCATCGCCCCTTCTATTTTCTCTTGCGAAGGGCTTTCTTTCTCCCAGGTTATGTTGCCAATCCAATAGTCAGAGCCGCTGGACTCTTAGCCTCTGTGGCAAATACGACCTCCATGCAGTAATGCTCAAATGAACGTGGAGTGGACATCTCGCTTAGAAGCCGCCAAGGCGCCGGAGACCACTTCAGGACAATCGCTATCAGTAATTTCCCCGTTCCTCCCCTGCGGCCAAATGAGGGTCGCAGAATGTTCGACCCTCTCCGTTTCCAGGAGTTCTAGATCGGCAGATCATGGCGACAGCGGTGTGTCATCCGAGGGTACGCATGCTGTTGGCAGTCCTGACCCACTCTCCGGGAAAACCTTTGCCTCGCACCAACGAGTCAGGGCATCGACTTTAGCCCGTCGGACGTTAGCGCAACTATGGGGACGCATGAATACAGTTAGTTAGGCTCCGTTTGTCAAGCCAAACGGGCGATCACTTAAGGTTTAGATAGCAAGGGGGGGTCTCGTATTCCCGGCTACCGAAGTGGAAAAGATGGCGACTCCGTGCCACAAGCCATAGTTGTCTCGGCGTGCTCGACGATATCCCTAAAGAGTGTTAGACCAGGTACTAGCAGGAATTTCACCACAGCTGCCATGATGGCGGCGACTTAACATAACCGTATTAACTCCCCACTCATGTCCACTCCCCCATGTTGCCTCAAATTTATGTCTGACACCCATGTCCTCGTCTGCACCACAAGGCTGATATTGACTCTGCTTTCAATCGTGACGCCATGGCCATCTACGGTGGTGCAGCGCCTTCGCTGGCGGGCAGTGTCATCATGTTGACGACGCTGGCATTATTGACTTATGGCCTGCGGGTATACTGCCGAGTGACTAGGAAATCATGGAGTGTGGAGGATTGGATCATGACGGCTGCATTGGTGGGTTGAGAGCCCCGAAGGTCTTACTGGTGGCTAATTTTCCAAGGTGCCCTTCGCCGTGCTGGTAGCTGGATGTCTGGGGGGAGCTTTCAATGGCATTGGTATCCGTGACTCTGTGTTGGCAGAGCCACAGAACGTCAAATACCAAGGAGAAGGACAGAAGGTAGGAATTGTGCGAATATGTTCAGCTACATAGGACTGACTCTTCAGTTTTTCCTCATTTTCGAAGTCGGTTACTGTTCTGCCATTATTCCCATCAAGCTCAGTATCAGCTGGATGTTGATCCGCGTGGCCGAGGGTCGCAAAGCGTACCTCTACGTGCAATACGTGGTGATTGTTGTCTTTGTGCTGATGAATATCATCGCATTGATCTTTATTTTGATCAACTGCATCCCTGTTGAGTACGACGCCCGACCTATCTGAGCCTAACAACCGATGTTGACTTTACAGGGCGGCCTGGGATACGGAACTGCTTGCCAAGGGAGGACACTGCCAACCATCCTACGTATTGGCCGACGTCTACTACGCCTGCACGGCTGTGAACATTCTCACTGACTGGGTGACGGCTTTCATGTACGGCCACTTCCAGCTATTATTGAATCCCACTGACTGAAGTAGGCCTGTACCTCTCCTATGGAATGTCCAATTGAACCGCAACACCAAGATCTCGATTGTCGGCCTAATGGGCCTGGGTGTCTTGTAAGAACAGTTTCTCATTCACTTACGCCCTGGTGAGCTTGAACTAATCAATGGTCTCAACAGCGCCTCTATGTCCGCCTGCGTCCGTCTCAAATACACCGTCGCCCTAACCAGCCAATCCAACTACCTCTACAGTGTCACCAACGTGGTGATCTGGGGATTCGCCGAAAACGCCCTGGGAATGATCGTCGGCAACGTCGCGACGCTGCGCCCACTGTTCCGCATCCTCCGCGACCGCAAGACATCGTCGAACAACCGATACAACTCCCGGGGATACTACAGCTCTCAGCGCACGGGACCGGCAAACATGTATTCTCGCAATTACGAGCTGGCTGAGCAGGGAAAGCACACCAACAATATCACCACTACCTCGGTACCTGACCATACGCGACGACCTAGTCAGTTGAGTGATGGGGATAGTCAGAAGCAGATTCTTGTGGGTGGAACTCCTCCGGGAGATACGGATATTCTTGTTAGTCGGCAGGTTATTGTGGCGTATGATTAGCATTGGGAGGTTGGTGGGCTGGCTGGTTGGAGTTGGGGCATCTTATACTACTCTCTTTGCATACATTTCTTTATGTTAATAACTATAAATACTATTAAAAAGTCATATACAGAGATTTAATTATCTTACATGCATGAGTGGGCTCATAGAAGGAGGGTAAGAATTTTAATTTATTGCTGGGCTAAGCAACGCCAAGCCTTAACGGCTGCAGTGGGGGACGCAATATACGCGCGAGTCAGACAATCAATTTTTACCACGCGGGAATGTGAGGGATCATACGATCAGGTTGGCACAACGTGGTCAATTAGATTATTCTTTGCTTGTTCTGTAGTCTTCTCGAGCTTGTTCTAGAAGTTGATTAGCCTGTCTGGTATTAGTGGTGGTTTGTGCTGTGGCACCACCGCGAACTGCTATATATTTGCTACTACTATTGTTACTACCTCAAATTCCGCAGTAACCAGTACACTCCATGAAATTGTTTGACAACAAGAGATTGTTCTGCGAGGCTTGCTTTATTCATTTTTTCTTTGATATCATGCATAGTATATATATCATATATAATTGTGTCGATTGGCATTATACTATTCCTCTACCCCAAATACGACTTTGGTAATCCAGTTAGACACAGCGAGCAAGTAATCGCACCATATACACAGATAGTACAATCAGCCTCATTTAGACAGTCAGCAGGCACTAAACTGGTTTTATCATGATATCATCAGATCCTGCTAGCATCTTGAACTTAGTAAGTTATTCTCACTTCTCCACTAAATTTCTAATGCAACCATGGAATCTATCCAACCACCCCATAATATACAATATAGTACAACCCGACATGCACACACTTACAAACAACAGTTTACTCTATTCCACCTCCAATTCCCTCACCGTCCCACAACCCACATCATAAACCACCCCATGAACCTGCACTTCCCCCCTCTCCACCGCCTCCCTCACAACCCCCATCCCCTTCAGCACCCTCACCCCCTCCAACACATTCAACTCCACCAATCTGACCCCCCTCTCATACTCCCCATGTATTCCCCCCAACTCACTCGCATATCTATCCCTAACCCTTTTCACCGGCCTCAACCACGCGTCCAACACACTCTTCTCCCCATCCCCATTCCCATTCCCTTCTCCCTTCGGGGCAGCTAACACAGCCCCGACCCCCCCACAACACGTATGTCCACAAACAACAACATGCTTCACCCGTAAATGACACACCGCATACTCCACCACCGCAGCGCAATTGACATCCCCGGCATGCACCACGTTGGCGATATTGCGATGCACGAAGACGTCGCCTGGGTTCAGATCGAGGAGAGTGGTTTCCGGACACCGCGAATCGGAACATCCTATCCAGAGGATTTGGGGGTGTTGGGCCCGCGCGAGCGTAGGGAAGAGAGAGGGGTTTTGGAGGGTGGTTTTCGCGGCCCAGAGGTGGTTGAGGGTTAGGGCTTTGGTGTATGTATCTCCTTCTTTTTTGGGAGTTTGGGGTGTGAGGTCTGTGTGGTTGGTTGGTTGGTTGGTTAGTGAGGAGGCGAGGGATAGATGAAAGAGACTCGAAGGGAGGGAGGAAGGGAAGAGGATGTAGTACCTGTGACGGCCATGGTTGATGGGTGTATACCTAGTGGTATATTGTATGGAGGTTGAGGTTGAGGTTGGAAGTTGGTTTAGATGGATTGTAGTTGATGACTTGGTAGTATGTGGGAGAGGACTGACGACAAGGAATGAATTAAATACTTATTTGCTTTTCATCATACCTATCCTCCCTTCAGACGGGGATACTACTAAGTAAGCATGCCGTATACCCGTCCCCTTTCCATCCATCACCTATCACCAGATGATCTAGATTGCATGATATGGATCGATCTATACACATGACACTAGCTTACAGCGCATAATCTCTGCGTCCGGCACATCCCATTCGTCCATACAATCAGAGCACAGACTTGTTGCACGATGAGTGAGGCATATACACATTCCGTCTGTATAGATATGATATGCGAAAAGGGATGAGAATGAGGGATTAATATACAGATATTCAAGGGATATACTTCCGAAGTAATCTGGATCAATCTATCGGCTATTGCGGAAATATAAATAGTAGTGGTGATGCTCTTATCAGGTTGATAAGGAGGTGAAACGCTAGTGTTCGGGTGTATCGGCACTGTCGGGTTGTTTCAGGGTTGATAGTTTCCCCCATCTGTACAGGCTCCGAAGAAGTACAGTATTGATATATTTCCAACCTGGTGGCACATGGTGAACATTACTCTATCTGTTCATTTAGCCAGGGATCCTTGAGGAGCTCTCTTGCCCGTTTTCTGTCCTCCGGACGCCACTGGAGTATCCCTCTCATGAAGTCCAGAAACATCTCCTTATTTCTGCCTTCGAGAAACTGTTCTGATGCCTCTAGACCCCCTGTCTGCGGTATGGCTATGTCCTGCTTCCATTTCCCTGCTCGGCCTTCAGTGAGTATCTTACGCTCGACAACACAAGTTGCGCAATTGTGACGTACCGTCCACAGTAAAGAATTCATGACTTCGTTTTCCACGATTGAGCATATCTAACGGGGGAGGTCCTATGAGACCGATCACCTCTGCCAGATGTGCACGGGTAGAGTACCCTTTTCCGTCGGGGTCGTTTCCATTGAACATATGCTTGCCTTCGAACAGATCCCAAATCTAATCAATTCGCGTTAGTACCTGCACGACAACAGTGGTAAATAAGGAGAATATAGCGTACCATAACACCCACATTCCAGACGTCAACGGGATAGCTCCACTCAGTCATTAACATCACCTCCGGCGACCTATAAACATTCGGCTGGGCATCATGGTCTTGTTTCTCATCACCTCGTACTGCAGATCCAAAGTCACTCAATACTGCGCGTCCAAAAACCTTGGGTAGTTCGAAACGCCGCGAAGCATATACTGGTACGCTATTAACAGATTTGCGGGGCGAGGGCCTGTCCAATTCAGCTTCGGTAAAGGCTTCGAGGATTGAGCTGTCTGCGATTTCTTGAAGAATATTATCGCTCTTGATATCTTTTTCAATCGTCAGTATTCATCTCCATCGTTAATAACATGGCTGGTATACCTGTATGAACAAGCTTGCATTCAGTGTGCAGGTAATCTAGTGCCAGGAATATCTGCATGAGACCGGCTTTGAGCAAATCTACGGTAAAGCGATGTGTGGGATTTCGATAAAGCAGATGACGAAAGCTCTCCCACATGGGCTGCTGGACGAGACAGTGATGATCGCCTCCATTGCGAGGAATGGTGAAGAGATCAAGAGCTGTTCTCACGTGCGCATAGCCAGGGTGGGATGACTTGTGCTCTTTCAAGTGATCTTAGATTCGGAACTCTTCTGCGTTGTCTTCATCCCGAGTATAAACTTTCAGTGTCACATACCGATGGCCCATGTCTGCATTAACATTTCATGAATTCATAGACTGATGGGAACTGCTCGGTAGATATCCCTTACTCGAGATCACGGGCTAGCCATGCAGTTGAAGTAACGCCAAATCCCAGCTTGCCAACGACTTGATACTTGGAGGCAAAAACATCCCCGATATCCACGGGATAGTATTGCCCCTTCTTGAATTCATCGTACCGTTCTTCGTCAAGTATCTCCGCCACAGGGACGGTGTCCCATCCGCTGGTTGGAAAACATAGGGGACGAGATGGAGCCCTGCGAAAAGAGCTCCTGACCAACCTCAAGAGCGACATCATCCGGGAGTAAGGAAGAACAGTGTGTGATATGAGAATTGGTGAATGTCTCCATAACGCTGATGAGGAGGATGGGAGAGTGTATGTGGTTGCGGATTAAATGACCGGAACATTGCATATGGGTTCAGACTAATGCACCACGTGAAAGCATCCCTTCGTCCCGCGTCTGCGAATCCCTTAGGCGGTCATCCAGGCTGATTACAGGTAGGTTAGTTTCATGGAAGTTTAAACCATTACATAATTGGAATATTTCATCATGGCTATCAATACATACAACACCTATCTATCCAGGAGTTCGCCACACATGCTCCGATTCTATCTTGAGGGATATTCCTACGTGCTCAGCATACGGGACGGCAGCTGCTTATGACTGCTCCCGCGACACCTCAGCCACAAACTCCATCAAACCAGGCTTAGAAGGCGTCTGGTCCGATGTCCATGTCTGAGACTGCAAACTCGGTGCCTTGGTGGCGCCCGATCGGCCAAACCCTTCAAGTCCTCGAAGCGGGAATGTTTCCACCTTCAATTCCTCCCGTGACAAGCTGATCTTCAGCTTCTTACTCCGGCCAGTATTCGACAACGCCAGCAGTTCGCCATGGTGTGGGTATGCCGCCTCCCAGGTCAATTGCTTATCTCCCTCGGCGCCCTCTTTCTTGGTGTTTTTGGCCGTCTTCGAGCCTTGAAGCGCGATGGCCGACACGATGTCCAACTTCACGAAATGCATGAGAGCTGCGGCTGCTTCATTCTGCAATCCAATCCGACCGGGAGGCTGCACTTCGGGATGGTGAGGAAGGTCAATGGAAATGTCGTAGTGGGTACCAAAAGGCGGTGATACCGGGTTGGTACGGATTTTCACGCGGAAAGAGCTCTGTGGGGTGATCAAATGGCCGGAAAACGTCGATTCGAAGGGCATCAGGAACTGTTGCACCAGACTCTCTACCTTCGGAACAGCTTGCACTTTGGGAAGGCTCACAGACGCAAAAGGCACGGCGTGGAAATCACGCTCGACTCCTGCCGCGCGGAGAACCCGATAAATATCATTCATGAAGGACTCCAGCCACCGGACGTGCGAGCTATGTTGGAGATACGCCATGACGGGGCGCAAGAGCTGATACTCGGGGGTATGTCGACGTTTCTGGGAGAGCGGGGGCGGCGGTTGGGTTCTGCGTCGCAGGTTCTGGCGATGTGCATACGCGAGCAGAATTCGAATGGAATGTGAAAGCCCATTGGCAAGGACGTCGTGTTCTGTTGACTCGATCTTGTCTTCGTCGGGCGTTTCACGGTCGGCATCTACCAGATCAAACAGGATCTCTTGGTCCTCGGATATCGGCAGTCGGACCAGGTTTTGACGAGTCGTCACGCCATGACTACCCATGATACGTGCTTCGCGCATCAGTTCGTGGAATAGCTCCTCCTCGTACACTGTGTCGCGTGCTTGCAAGATCGTGCGCTCAACCGAAGCCGCATCGGGGATCGGATCCGGCATCTTCGAGCATCCCGTAATTTGGCCGCGGTGTTTCACACGCACTCGAACCGTCCTCGTCTTCTGCGGCGCCAGTCCCTTATCCAGTATTAAGCTTCCATTATCAGCCCTCCGTAGAGCAGCAAGACCCCGGTCGCGGAATATAGGCGTAGCTATACAATGCAGTTAGCAAAAATCCACCGCGAGCACGTAGCGATCCTACCTTCCAAAAACCCATATTGTACTCCCAGCGCAGTTCTCTCGCGAGGCAATCTGCAAACCTTCCATCCCTTCTCCTTAACCGCCAGCACCTCATCCCAGTACTTCGTCTCCGAAGTGACCTCTTCTTCCAACCGTGTCGCCGAGTTGAGCAATTTATTCGCGGCAGCATTGAAGTTCTGCGCCCTCCAACCCCGCGACACAGTCTTGACATCCTGCACAGCGGCCTCCGACTTCGGCGGCGGCTCCACGATCTCCGCATTCAACGACCCCAGCGGCGCAACCTGCTTCAAGAACGTCGACATAGAAGTCTCCGCCTGACGAGGGGTATGCTTCGACAGCAAAAGCGAAACGAAATCCAAAGCGAACAGAGCTTCCATATGCGCCTGCCTTCACCCGCAGCAAACCAATTAGCTCCATTGCCCACTTATTGTCAACAGCAGACACCTACTTACATAGCGAACTGCAAGATCTCGGCACGCCGCTTGTACAATGTTTCCAGACGTTCGGTCGAGTCCACGTCCTCGGCGGGTTTATCATCCTCGTCTTCCTCCTCCCATGGGTCCCGGTTCTTGTCCTCTTCGATCTTGGCAAGTAGTGTCTCTTCGTTCACGTCGCGGAAGGATCCCCATCGGGCGTTGATTTGGGCGATCTCGATTGGGAGGGTGTCGGGTCGGTCGGGTTTCTCCGTGAGTGGACGCAGAGGGAGGCTGAAGGAGTCGGCCATGATTGTGGTCCGCTGCCGGAGGGCAGGTTGAGTTGAGGGTGTATTGTTGTTTGATAATGGAGTGATGGTGACGGATGATCGCATTGCTGATAGGAGGCACGTGACTGCTCTGGAGCTGGGGCTAGTCCAGATACGAACTGGTGTAAACAGTGGGTCTGCGTTTATGCCTCAGGAAGAAACCCTTATTGTATAGTGTCTGGATATATTTTACTTCAGGGTCTCAGTTGCTTCATGCACCATCAGCAGGTCATCTGCATAGAATTTGATATAGCCCGAGAAGGATCTGATAGCTCTTATTGTCTATACATTGCTCAGGCCACTCTCCAAAAAGCATAAATGGTGACAGTGGCACCAGCGAGAGCCAACTCGATGGAGAAATACTATCCTAAGTTGCTTCAGTAGATCTAATCTGTGAACAGCAACACCTTCCATATGTTATTTCTCAATGCTCTATGTTGTTCCATATTATTATGTATATAAATTGGACCAAAACAGACTATGATCAGACCAATCATATGCGAAACAAGGCTACCCCGCTACTACACAGCCGGAGAGAGATACCTATAGGTGGAACACACATGCGATTCAAGCACATCACAAGCCTACTCATAATTACCCAAGATACCCCGCTTCTGCCTGATCCTATCAGTACATACAGTTGAAGAGAGCTTCACGAAAACCAGATTCTGAGTCTCCATCAACCTGAACATCTCTTCGAAAATCTCATCAGCAGTCATCACCTCCATACACACACCAGAAGCTACACCCATTCAACATGCCCTCCCGCAAATCCAAATCCAACCGCAAATCCAACCTCCCCCGCAACCGCTGGTCCATGTACCCAGCCCTACACAGCGACGTCCTCAACCACCTGAGCTCCTCCCTCCCAATTACCTCGCTGACATTCCACCCCTTCGACGACGCCAGCAGCAGCAAAAAAGAATACGACACGAACATCATGGGCCGGTTCGTCTGCTCGAACGACTCGTGCACGTCAACCGGCTGGACGAGCAAGAAGATCGCCATTACGATCAGGCTGTACCCAGAGGACGAGTACAATGCACGGGTGTATCATCAGCGTTGTAAGAAGTGTAATTCGCTCAGTCGGCCGTTTCTGGATGAGGTTAGCTATGCGGAGAGAATCGCGTATCGCATGAAGAAGTGGTATGGGGTTGATGTGGAGAGACCTGTGTATGATGAGAGGAAGAGGACTAAGCCGCATAATAGGGAGTTATGTGAGGGGTGTAGGGCTGGGAGGTGTTCGTTTGCGGAGGATGGGGATGATAATTGATAGGGGAGTTTAATTGGTAATGGGATTTTGTATTTGGTCAGTCTGGTGTTATGTCACATAAGTAGGAGCATGGGATATTGAGCGATATTTGCAATGACAGTCATGGTACAGTTTGCTTGGGTACAGAGTGCGCAGTGATGATGAAGCAATACAGCGATAAACATGTACTTCACTAATCCGGAATCAGAAAGGTATCGACTAAGCACCCCCGAGCAAATCAAAAACAGATAACAAGAGATGTCGTTCAATCTTAGGAGGATGCTTGTTCAGCTTCATAGCTGAGAACACAGCCATCTGGGCACCGCGCACGCTATACTCCATACTCAAAGTCGTATCATCCTGAATCTCAACATACTGTCCCACCAAAGCCAGGTTCTTGCTCTGGGAAGGCATGACTTCAGGGCGGAAGTCATGACGACGGGGCATCAGTGGTGCCGTGGCCATGGGCATCAGAACAGGCTTCGTGATCGAGTTCGGGAGTATGTCATCCACTGGCATTCCTAGCTGGGATAGCACCTCGGTCAGAATCTCCTTGCCGGAACAATGACACATGGGCTTGTGGACAAAGTTTCCAGTCTTCTCGGGATGCAATCCATAGCCCCAGAATACATCGACGGAGGAGGGCTGGTCAGAGCACACGGGCTGGCGCGGAACGCTGATACTCAGGCCCCAGTTGCTATCGGAGAAGGAAAGCAGAGCCCCCGTGCCGGGCTTGTTGTTGGTTAGTTTCTCGTAGCGTTCCATAAAGTCGCTGTTGCGGAGGGTGACTGTGAAAGACTCCAGAGTCGACTGGTCAACGTTGTTGTGGAAGTTGAACGGGTTTCCATAATCCGTAGAGGCCTGCATCAGGTCGATCCACAGGCCCCAGTCATCATCCAGGAACTCTTTGCTATGCTGGGGTACGGGATTCGGGGCCTTGTCGTTCGATCCCCTCTCGGTTGCAGAAGTTGTTGATCCAAGGGTAACCATGACAAGGTCTTCGGGCCTCACGTCGATGGTCTTCTGTTCGCCGTTATCTTTGAGGATGATCCCGGAGACGGTAGTCTGGGCCTCTTTCGGGTTCATCTGCAGGCTTGTGACCTTTGCGTTGAAGTGGAAGTCGACTCCCTGCGATTTCAAATATGATTCGATTGGCATAACAACCGACTCGTAGATCGTATACTGGGTTCGATCCAAAGCTTTCACGTCATTTAGGCGCTCAATTTCAGCCAGATGTTTACATAGACATCTTCTGAACTCTGCCAGGCTGTGCCATGGCTGCATAGCGAAGCTGTATACCATCAGCTTTGTAACAGAAGGCAAATAGATAATCAACCTACGTAGTAGACCATAGCGTCCAAAAGTTAGTCTTGAAAAATGCTTCATCGA